CTCCCATTCCTACCTCTCTTCTCAGTGAACCTGGAGTTCGGCATTTCATTTAGGCAAGAGGAAGCATTAAAACACACAGAGTGGAAAGGAAGAATTTAAACCAGTGTTCTAGAAAGAGAACAAGTTGCTCAAATAACAAGTCACCTTATAAGGAGCCTGAATACAAAATAGATTTCAAGAATCAATTTTCAAAATTAGTTGTCATTCTGTACAGCGAGAAACAAATCTTTTTTTGTTTTGTTTTGTTTATTTATTTATTTTTATTTTAAAGATGTGAGGTACAATTCAGGGTTAGGTATACAAATGTTCATACCTCCAAGCAGATACCCTTGTTGATGAGGTGTGCCCGTCCCTCCCCTGGCAGTTTCCCTCAACTGCCAATCCTGCCCCTCCTCCCCTGGCAGTTTCCCACTACTGCCAATCCCTAAGAAACAAATCTTAAGTGAAATCTACCAAACAGGCCAGGCTCAGTAGCTCAGCCTGTAATCCCACACTTTGGGAGGCCAAGGTGAGTGGATTGCCTGAGCCTGCGAGTTCGAGACCTGCCTTGCAACTTGGTGAGACCTCATCTCTACAATAAATAAAAAAAAATTAGCCTGGCGTGGTAGCGTGTGCCTGTAGTTCCAGCTTCTTGGAAGACTGAGGCGGAAGGATCACCGGAGCCCAGCAGGTGAGGCTGCAGTGGCCGAGAGCGTGCCACGGTATTCTAGTCTGGGCGACAGAGTGAGACTCCAACTCAAAAAACAAACAAAAAAGAAATCTACCAAACAATGCCAGTTGTGAAAACACCACAAAAAGCACAACATGCCTAGAAGGAAATCAAACTAGATTGGTGCAAGATTGCAACACTGAAAGTGCAAGAACACTGCTGGAGACTTAAAACGCTTTTCAAGACTTGAACATGAAAATTATGTACTCTGCTCATTGACATGAGTAGAGTAATGATATCTGTTCTCCTCCAAATAACCAACAAATTCAAAAGAATTTCAGTCAAAGTCTCTGCAGGTGTGTCCATGTGTGTGTATGTGTATGTGTGTGCTGACAAGCTGATTTCAAATGCTTTTCGAAATGTATAGGGCTAGGAATAGCCAAGGCAAACCTTAGGAAAAAGAAATAAACTGGAGGACTTGTGCTCTGATCTATCAAGATTCTTTATTAATATATATTGCTGTGTTAATTAAAATCGTTTGGTTTTTGGATGCTGTGGTCAGGATTGAAAAAATAGAATACTTGAAGGTAACAGATTCAGAAAAAGCCAAACACATCGAGTTACCTGTTGTCTGATGTAGTTGACCCCACAGTGCAGTGGAGGAAGATGCTTGTTTGTAGTGGTTATGTTAGCTATTGATACACAGTATTCATGTGATACGAAAAAAAAAGCATTTTCAGGTTGTTTATAGATGTCAGTGTAAGTATTAAATCAGTAAATATTTAGAAAAAACTGTAGAAGAATATGTTTGTGTCTTTTGGTAAGATTTTTAAAAACTGAACAAAATAGTTCTAGTCACGTGAGAATGATATTGATAGGATTACCTTGAACTTCACAGCTTCTCCCCTTCAGAAGATACAAATAAACCAGCAAAAATGCAAGTCAAGACAAGTGAAAGTGTCTGGTAAATAACTGATATTTATAATTATAATAAAGAACTTCCTACAAATTAATAACTAGACATCAGATCATCCAATAGAAATTTGAATAAAAGGCTTACAGGGCATCTACCAGAAAATTATATCTGAAGGGGCAACAAATGTAAGAAAAACCATTCAGTGGCAATTTTCTCGACAGAAATGAAAATAAAAATCACAACACGAAAACACTATGAGGAATGACCAAATATCCAAAAGTGCCATACCAAGTGTTGTTAGGGTTCTAAAGTGTACACAGTTCCTTGAATATAGCTGGGTTCTACCAAGTCTGAAAATTCTCAACATTGTCTGCTAAAGTGACATTGCAAAGACTTAGCATTTTATTTCTAGGTAGGTAGCTAATAAAAAGCTTACATGGGCTCACTTCAAGTCAGGACAAGAATCTACTGTTGTGAGTAGATAACAACCAGAAACAACCTTAATGTCCATGAATAACTGTGGAATGCTCATCAGTGTAGGGCTACACATGTATGAGAATGTACAGTATACAACAGCATGCAACAATAAAGATGAATTTCATAAACACAAAGCAGACAAAGGAAGCCATGCACAAAACCAAGCACAATGTAGGATTTCATATTATAAAGTTCAAAAACAGACTAAAGGAATCTATGGATCTAGAAGCCTATTCGCTTCCTATCTTTGGTCTAGGCTGCTTCTAGTAGTGTCTGCATGGAGGCTAGAACGAAGATCCAGGAACTCTCATCCAGCTCTGTTTCTCATGCTGGGCGCTGATTATGTCGCTATGGGCCCTTTGTGGAAATCCATCAGGTAGTCGACTTATGATCATGCACATTTCCATAGAATATAAAGTTCCGATAAACTTTCTACAAGGAAAATAAAGAAAAACAAGTGACTGGTTCTTGTTTATTTATTTTGTTCTGGTGTTACAGAGGAGGCAAGACCCATAGCCATGGATGAATAAATAAATTATGGCAAGTTCCAAAAGAAAGACTTTCTGTAAACACTGCGTAGACTACAAGGGGAACAGAAGTTGTGATGAGGGTCAAGGTGTTTAATACAGGGATTCTTGAAGAAAGCTTATATGTGACTGAAGATAGGTAGCATTGGTTGCCTGAGGCAATCGGGCGAGGCCTTTGGTGCATGCAGGCCTTTGGTACATGAAACTTAGTTGAATGGTGCATCAAGTTTTTACTGGGAAAGATGTTGGTACTAAGCGATCATCAAACATTTATATGTTGGTTCAGGAACTTGGTACATCAGGCTTTGGGTCATGGGAAGAAATTAACCCTAAGGGGTCATGCCAACATCAAAATATCAGGTTAAGGCCCCACTGGTAGAGGCATCCCTGTTAAAATTCTGTGTGATCTGAGACTATTAGTAAACCTTGATTTCTAGTCTTCATTTAATTTCTGGAACTCTAGAAATCTTAATGACAAAAAATGAACAGGATATTTCATTTTGTGTAGCTACATGACAAGGCACCATGATACCATTTTGGGAGGGCCAGAGGCAGACAGAAAGTTAGCAGTCTGGATGGGAAACATACCCAGAGGTAGCTGTTCTTGGAATAATGACTTAGACTTGGGCATTCTTTGTCAGCCAAGAATTCTAGAAAATGTTGTAACAGCTGGGCGTGTAAAATGTGCACATGGAGCTGGTTATGGGTGAATGTGAGATAAGTATGCTTTGATATGTATATGCAGAAAATGTGAAACAATGATTTACATCACTACTTCTTTTTTTAGGTGTGCACGCTCGTCTAATCATAGGCTATAGTGGCTGTACATGGAACTGTTCATTTATGTATACATCTGAAATGCCTCCTGAAGCCCCAAGGAAAATTACCAAAGTTAATAGTTTCTATTGGTATCGTTGTTGTAGTAGCATGCAATGTAATGGCGGAGGACCTACTAATCTTGAAAAGGACATGTTACCCGATTATACATTGGAGGAGGAGGTTGAGGAAGGAACCGTGCGTCTGGGAACATCGCCATTGTTCCTGATCTTTGCCTCTATCATAGTCAGCCATGCACTGCTATGAGAAGCCCTTCTTGGAAGGTCACATCTTCCGTGTCAGGAGAGGAAAGTTGCCTTCCACAGCTCACTTGTAAGCCAGAGACATGGGTCTGCTGTGCCTTCAGGTGGCCCATAGGTGGGTTATTTAAGAGAGAAATAAAGAAAATGTGGTTTGCTGTAAACATCTTGAACATTTGCTTGTCCGCCTGGACTGAGGAACCCATGGTGGAGCATCTACTTAGATCTGTTCTCTGTTTTACTGTGTCCTGAGGAATGACTTTGTGGTTTTAGTAGAGTAGTACATCACCTAACGATGAGGGTTCATTGTGAGACTTGTGTGGTTAGGCATTCCCATCATGGAGACATCATGGAGTACACTTACCCACACCTAGATGGTCTAGCATACCACGGTTTTATATGCTGTAGCCTATTGCTCCAAGGCTACAAAGTAGGACAGCATGTGACTACTGAATATTGTAGGCAATTGTAACACAATAGTAAGTATTTGTATGTCTAAACATAGAACAGGTTCAGTAAAGGTGCAGTATAAAAGCAAAAAATGGTACACCTGCATAGGGCACTCACCATGAGCAGAGCTTGCAGGACTGGAAGTGGCTCTGGAGAGTTAGCGAGTCAGTGGTGAGTGAATGTGGATGCCTGGGTATTACTGTACACTACTGTAGATGTTACAAACACTGTACACTTAGGCTCACGGAGTTTATTTTACAAGTTATTTCTTTAGCAACAAATTAACCTTAGCTACTGTCACTTTTTTTCTTCAAAAATTTTGTACTTTTTGAAAAGCTTGTTGATGCTTTTATGGTAACACTTAAAACACAAGCATGCTGACAACTGTACATAGATATTTTCTTTTTTGTATCCTTATTTCAAAGCTATTTTATTTACAAATTTTTGAAGTAATTTTTAATGTTCAACCTTTTTTTGTTAAAACAAAAACAGAAACACACACATCGGCCTAGGCCTAAAAAGGGTCAGGATCATCCATATCACTGTCTTCCACATCTACAGTTTGTCCCACTGGAAGGTCCTAAGGGACAATAACACACATGCAACTATCATCTCCTGTGATAACAATACCTTCTTCTGGCGTACCTGCTAAATGGCCTGCTCAGGCTCTTACAGTGAACCTTTTTTAAATAAGTAGAATGAGCATACTCTAAAGTATCTACAAAAAGTAGAGTAGAATAAATCCATATACATGAACATAATTGTTTACTGCCATTATCACGCCCTGTCTTGTACTGTGCATAATTGTATGTGCACTTGTTTTATAAAACTGCTGTGCAGTCGGTTTGCACTGGCATCACCAAAAACACAGGAGCAATGGATCCCTCCTGCTGTGATATTGTGAAGATGACAGTGTCCCTGGTGATAGCCCACTGCTTTCTTGGTGAAATACCTTCAAATAATTGGCTCATTTTAAAATTGCATTCTCTTTTTATTACTGAGTACTTTCTATATTCATGATCCAAATCGCTTCTCCATGGACTATTTGAAAATCCTTCCTTCCATTCTGTGGGTTCTCTTTTCTGTTCTGGTAGTGTCTTTTAAAGCACAAATATTTGAAACTTAGTGAAGTCCAAGTTATTTATTTTGTTTTTGTTGCTCTTAATCTGGCTATCGTAACCGTTGCCACATTCAAGGTACTTATCACTATGTCCTTCCAAGGCTTTTATACTTTAAGCTGTTTTGATGAGATCTTTGATTAACTTTACATTATTTTTTTGTACGTGGTCTAGGTAGAGACCCACCTTTATTATTTTCCATATACTTATAAAGTCCCAATACCATTTGTTGTAAAGACTATTCTATCTCTATTGAATGTTCTTGGTGCCCTCGTGAAAATCCAGTTGACCGTAGATGTATGGTTCTATTTCTAGGCACACAACTTCTTTCTCTGATCTGTATGTCTATCTTATGCCAGTACTTCAGTATTA